AAACAGAAGACCAGACCAAGGCTATGTAGAGAATGGGAGTGGCGGGGGGACGGTGGTGTGGCGACGGTGAGAGGGGGAAAGTCGTAAAACGTATAAACGAGTGTGGGAACCGATGACTGCTGGCTGCTCTCTCTCTCTCTCTCTGTCTCTCTATCTGCCTCAATCTGCCTCTCTTCTTGGATCTTTTTGGGTTATGTGGCATGGAATTTTGCCTCTGCTTTTGCGGTTGCTTCTTCTCGTGCACACCCCCCCTACCTCGTTCCTCTTCCCACTAGCATATGCTGCCATACCCCTTTCATCAGTGGCCTCGTCTATTGTTGGTCTGGTCAAAGACCCATCGAAACATCTTGCGTCTATGGCTTTTTGATAGATTAATAGGCCACACACAACAAACACACTCACACAGTCGGAACTGTCGTCGGTCTGTATGTACCCCCCCCTCGTAACCTAACCCGAAACACCACCAATTCATTCGTATAATTGGTTCATGCCTTTGAGGGGGAGGAAGTTTGTGGTTTTTGTGGTCTATGGAATAGTTGTTGCAACATGTGGCATGGATTAGATTTTGGACTACCCATGTAAAGGGGTGTGGGTGTGGGTGTGGGTGAGGGGTAGTGATGTCTTAATAAATGTACAAAATAAATAATAAATGTTGCAACTGTTGGAATGATCTTTTGGGAAGAAAAGAAAAAAACTCTCATTTCGATCCACAATTAAAGCAACAATCAATCATGGCTCTGCAATGATCAATCAGCGGTTAAAACATATTCTCAAATTAATATCTGATTAAAATAGAATCGCTTTCTTCCAGTGTGGCTTAGCCGTTGAGTTAATTTTCAGCATTTCAGTGTTTATATTGACAATTAATGCACGGAAGTGTCTTTTTATGATCAGTTACAGATAAATAGAAGCCTAAAAGTGATCCTAAAATGTTAGAGGAAAAGATAGAAGAAAATAAAGCGTTTCATTTGATAGAACTCTCATTTCAAGCCAATTCCAAAGTTAAAAACTGATTTTCATTTTATGGCGAAATACATATGTATATAGATTCCACACAGCACAGAAATCATGAATAAACTTGTCCAATTCCGAGTTTGGGTCTGCGGTTGAGGGAGCAGCGAAAGCGCATCGGAGAACTGCGAAACTGCCGATAAGGGATTTGCTTTTGGCTTCCATTCCGTGCATGGGGAACGGGTGGCGCTTCGACGATAAGCCCCGAAAGTGTTTCTGGTTTCATTCATGACACCACCAGCCCATAGATGGGGGGGGGGCGGGCAGTGCGGGGCGGATATTAAATTATTTATTTCCATTTATCGAAGATTTGTTCTCTTCCATTTCTTGGGCTTTCATTTCGCTGTTTAAACATTTAATATCAAATATATTCTTATTTCTTCGTACGAGTATCTGTTGCTAAGCCACACTGGAAGTGGTTTACTCTACAGTTGTGCATAAACATGTATATTTACAGATATCTATATCTACATATTATATATAGTTTTTTTTTATTGTTTTTTTTTTGCCTTTGAGAAAAGCGTGAGAAATTTTTGGCCGTGGTTTTGTTTTAGTTTTTTTTTTTTGCCTTTTTGTTGCTTCGATGTGGTTTCTTTTTTGTTGTTGTTTTTGTTAGTTGTCGCAGCTGTTGATTTTTTTTTTTTTTTTTATTATGCTGATAGCGTTTGGCTGCCACTGCTGCTGTTGCTGCTTCTGTTGCTGTTTTTTTTTTTATAATTCGTTGAGAGTCGGAGGAGGAGAGCAGCAGCACGGCGAAAAATTCAAATTCGATAAGCGGCCGCTTGGCAGCATACTACATAAATATTTCATTATTGTCTCGGGCTACTGCTTTTTTATTTCACATTAACCGGTAATCGGTAAGCGATTACCAAAGGGGACGACATGTCACAGACAGAGGATCAAGAGCCCTATAGAAATCCTGCACAAAACAGGGGAAAACATTTCAACTGCTAAGCCACACTGGGAGATGGATGATTTTATCACCAAAAACACACTAAATATGTAACTATTTTTACAGAAAAGATTATGATTTTGTAAATAATAAATAAGAAATATTTGGAGCAATAATATTCCATGAAAAAAGAAGATGGTGTCCCCTGACTGAAGGGCTCCTCCAGGCTCCAAGCTACACCACTTCTGGCATTTGTATTCGCGTAATTTGCTGTCAATGCTGTCTAAGGATGGATTCTATTCCCTGCAAATAACAGGGAAAAAAGTCTAAAAATAAATTGGGGCAAGCAAAAGATTATCGATGCCTGATTGCACCAAAAAGGTGGCAGAATGCTGAAGAGGTGTGGCCCACCCACCCCTCTCTGTTACGGGCTTTACTTAATTAATTTCCACCGCTAAAAAAAAACAGAGTGAGAGAGAGAATACTGAACGCTTCATCGACAGAGCGTGAAAAGATTTTGTGTGTTGTTGTTTTTTTTAAAAATTTTTTTTATTGCGTGTGATTTACCGGCACTTGTAAAAAATCTACATGGAGCGCAAAATTGTATGGGGAATCGTAGGCATGGGGATAGGGTTGGGGTTGGGGATGGGGGGTGGCGATGTGGTAGTTGGTTGTAGGTATTTACGCGCCGTTTAAACAGATGCCTGCACATGAAGATTGGCTCTTCCTATGCCCCTGCCCGACAGACAAATGAGCTGTTAATTGCTTGAGTTGGTTTAAGCCCAGTTAATACCTAATTAAACATGCCTAACGATATGTGTAATGGATGGCTTGAGTTTGAGTTTGAGCTTGAGCAGGATTTCGGTTTGTTGGGCGATTCACAGTCACGACATTTGATGAAAAATGAAAACAGGCGTGACTGTGACTCGGCAAATCTCGCTGGCAGATTGGGATTTTGATCGATGAAATGTTTTTGTATGTGCAAATTCCGAACGAAAGAAATAAAAACAGACAGAAGAAGGTTGAGACGGACAAATCGCACTGGGAGAGTGAGCTAGAGGTGTAAAGAGGTTGCTAAGCCACAGTGGAATAGAGTCAGAGAAATTTCGTAGTTTATTTCTGAACCAGTCGACTGATTTTTGTTGTGGTGCGAACCTCACCGCACCCAAAACTCTGACATTGGCTTTTATTTGTTTCTCCCTCTCTTTTGCATTTGTTTATTGTTTTTTTTTTTTTTACATTAATTGAGGTCAATTAGTTTACACACACACACACACAAAGATGCAGATGCAGGACAGCCATCAAAGCAAATACAGATACAAAAAACAGACAGAGGGAAAGGGAAGAGAGCAAGCGAAATGGCGGTAATCAAATGCAGGGGCACACTCTCCACTGAGCAACTTCACTCCTCCACTGCCCTCCACTCCCCTTCACTCTTTTTTGGCATAAATTGTTTGGCTTTTGGCGATGAAAAATGACTCAACTTTGAAGTTAAATTTTATCTTTTTGTTGCTGTTGTCATTAGCCTGTTAATCAGGGGCTCCCATTTGATATTGTGAAAATGTATCTGTATCTGAATGCGCATATGTATCTGCGAGATTTATGCGACGTCTTGTCCACAAGCCATCGATCATCGAATATCACAGACAGGCACTGAGAGAAATGTTTTTGCCAATTGCTTTTAATGAATTCCAAATCGAAATCATGCCAAAGAATTTTGTTGGCATGTACAGTATAATTTCTGTGTTGGTTTTTCTTCATTCTCTCTTCCAGTGTGGCTTAGCAGCTGAGTGTGTGTGTGTGTTCAATATCTCAATATGCTAGAGTTAATATCGTATTACAAAGTGATAAAGAAAGCCATAAATGGGACACCAGCAATTGTTTATTAAAATCCAAGCGAATTTTTTCTTTCTTTCTTTCTCTCTCTCTCGCTCTCTGTCTCAAAGTGTAGATCGAAAGAGTGCTTATTTTTGTATTGTGTATGCAAGGCACAGAGACTCCTCATTGTATTTGTGTGTGTGCCGCCTCCTTCTGAGCGCCCCTACCCTGCCCCCAAACAAAACGTTTCATTTATCCCTGTCTCATTCTCTCTCTCTCTGTCTCACTGTGCCTGTTCTCTGTGGCTGACGCGCGGTGGCAATCAAAACTTATTGTCGTCGGGGTCCGAGAACCGAATCGCGCACCCCAACCGTCTCGACAGGGCAGGAAATCGCCACACGCCCAATTAGCAAACAAATACATATGTATATCTATGTATATATATATATTTTTGCTGTTGCTGTTATTGGTTTGAAGAGGTGAAACCCCCCTGAGATGAAGGGAGGGGGTGATAGGCTACGCTTGTTTGCGGCTTCGTTTGTTTAATTTTGTGTGCCAGTTGCTCGTAGTATTTTTTTTTTTGCTATGGCATAAGCATATTTACATACATATTTCTAGAGTGATTTTTATTGCTGAACTTTTCAGTTGTAGCCGCCCCGCAACCCCGGGGGCCTCTTTCTTTGTCTCTCTTTCTCTCTGCTTGTATCTGGCGCTTGCCCTCCCTCCACCCCCCCTACTATTATTTTTCTGCAACGCTGGACAGTTCCAAGTGCAGTGAACTTTTCTTGTGTGATTGGCGTCGTCCGTTGGCCGGGCGGGGGGCGGAGCGCACAGCGCTGAGAGCCAGCGAAGATGATGACGATGTGACTTTGACATGCCGCCCGTGTGCCCTTAAAAGGCAGATACACAGATACACAAGAGCCTCCCCTCCTTGTGGAATAGAAGAAGAAACCAAACAAGAATGTTTCCCCATTCCTACCCGTCACCGTCTTCGTCTTCGTTTCTGTGTATTCTGCAACAATGTGGCATGTTAAGTAGACATAAATGGGCGACAAGTTAGCCAGATCTCACAGATACTCTGCACAGCCTTGTATGGGGGTGAGGAAGGGAGGGACTGGACTGGACTGCCAGAGTTGATTGACCAAAAGTGGAATAAGTTATCAAAGGGTACAGGGAGGGAGGCATTGGATCTACTATATGTAAAATATGAATAAATATTTGCACTTTATTTTCATACTTCATTTTGTGCTCACTCTCTCTCTCGCTCTCTCTCTTGCAGATACCGCGTTGATGGCCCGATCCTGCACACATATGGGCTGCCAAAATGGCGGCACTTGCATCACACAGAATAACGGCAAATCCTATTGCACGTAAGTTGATTTTAATTACATTTTTTTTTCTAGCTCTATTTTGACACATGTATTTGATGGTAAAAGTTAGATATAGCCCGGGAGATCAAGTGGAAGATTTCGGAATCACAAGGTTTTTGGGGGCCGTGCCATTCCGAAACTGAAACCCCTTTCTTCCCCTGCCCCAGCCCTGCCATGGAATGCAATTCGATCTTTTCTTTAAGATATTCCACATGCACTGAGCAGATCTTTAATTATGCCATGTCTCACACTCTTCGCTCGCTTATGTCTGTCTGTCTGTCTGTCTGTTACTTCGTCTGTCTGGGTCTGAGTCTGGTCCCCGGTCTTTGCTGTCCGTTTGGCCCGCTTCACAGACTCGTAAAAATTGTTTCAACGACAGTCTGTCAAAATATATAGATACTCGTACTCGTACTCGTACTCGTTCCTGTCCCTGTACCTTCCTCTCTCTCTCTCTGTCTCTATTTATAATAACTCAAACAAAGTTATGCGTTGCGTACGTGCCGTTTGTTTTGGGCCGCATTTGATTTATTACAAAGACAACAAAATAGTCAGAAATACAACAAAACAGCAGCAACAACAACTACAACAAACCAACGAAAGAAAACCGAAATAAAACAGCAACAAAAAAAAACAAAAAACAAAACGAGGAACCACAAACGAACCAAGTGAAAATCATGCGAACCAGCCCAAGGCACGAACACAGTCAGACCGAGTCCGAGTCCAAGTCCCGAGTCCGCTCTGTGGCTCGTTTAGGGGCAAAACGATTTGCCAGGAATGTCGTTCAGCGTCGAACCCAAACCCAAACCCAAACAACCGAACCGAACCCCGATCCCCGAACCGTTGAGGATTGTGCGGGCGCTTTTGTCTTGCTCCTCCTCCTACACCCAGCAAGCTTCGCTCTCTCTCTTTTACTGCGTGTGTGTGTGTGTGTGTGTCTCTCTCTGTCTAGACAAATTTCAAGTTAAATTAAAAGTAATTCCTGCACTCTCTGCCCCAAGATGTGTCCTTGAAATGAAGTTGCGTCTCCTGTCTGCTCTGTGCGGCAGTGATTGACATATGCAAATCCCAACAAAAACAAACAAAAAAACGGAACAAGCCCAGTACCCATCTATGGCCCGTACTAGGAGGAGGGATTGTTAGATGGACATCCCTCAGGCAACCAGGAACACAACACATGACATGATGATGTTTATTTCGCATCCTTAACTTCTGCTAGTCCACTGCGTGGGCGGGGTGGGAGGTGGGGTTGGCATCTATCTTTGGGCAATTACATAAAAGCGCTTAGCTTTTAGCCTAAAACAGCAAACGGCCAACAGCCCAGCAGCCCAGCAACCAGCCCAAAACTCTTGCCATTCGGATATTTTCTGCTATTTTTTTTTTGTATTTTTTGTTTGTTTTGTTTTTGGATTTTTTGGCATCGAAGGAGAAAAAGCACGATCAAGCCCGCTCTCTCTCTCCTTTGCTCTTGCTCTTTGGCTTTATTTTGTGAGGATGATAAGATCGCTTTGAACTTTTGTCTTGAGAGCAGCTCCAGAGCTATTAGAGTTCTCTCTTTCTCTCTGTCTGTCTCTGTGTCTCGATCGCTGATCCTCCATGGCTCTGATCCATTTACCACATTGTCTTGATTTGGAATTGCTCTGGTTCAGAGCTCAGCAGATCAGCAGCAGCAGCAGCAGTGCTCCGCGAATGATTATGGTCTGTGGTGGCTTGCCTTTTATTTGGCTTTTACGATCAGTTACGATCCCGCCCGCCGGCCTCCCTCCACTGGCTCTCCTCTGACTGTGGCTCTCCCTGTCGTCTTGTTTGTTTAATTGACTTGATTGCTACAGTTTGATGCAGTTTGTGGAGAGACGAGACGAGAGACTGCCACGACAAGCGTTTATGTCGATCTCTGTGGCTCTGTGTGATCTACGTTGGTTGCTGTGTTTTTGGCTACGTTTCTTGCTTGCCTCTTTTTTTTTTTTTTTGGCCATGTCAAATGTCGTGTAGCTAGCCCCCCCCCATCTATCGATCTCTCCTTCGGTTTGCTCAATTATGCACTCGACTCGACTCGACTCTACGCTACACTACCAGAACAATGGCTTTGATTTATATGGCAAATAAGAGACCCGCTTAAAGCCCCCCACACACACACAACACAAAAAGAATTGAAAAACTTGCGGTTTATGACATGTTAATGAGCAGCAACGTACGACACAAAAACAGCAACAACCAACAGCTAACAGCCAACAGTCAACATCTCTTTGGCGGACATTTCTTTTGAAGTATCGACCAACAACAACAACAACAACAACAAGAAACTCAAACGATCGAGACGATCTCTAACTGTTTTTTCTTTTCTTCTTCTTCCCTGCCTCCCTCCCTACCTCTCTGGATGAATCAAAAAAAAAAAAAATCAAAAGAAATCTTTGAAATTAAAACCAAAATATGATTGCTGTTCGAGTTGTATGAATGCATTCCATCTCGCTTTTAATGGATCACACTGGACAACGAGCACCACTGAAAGATTGTTTTCTAAGCAGTTCTAGCGGTAGATACGCACCAAAAAAGGGCATTCGATTACGTCGAAGGGATAGATAGATAGATGGAGAGATAGGTAGATGGAGAGAAAGGTATAGGAACAAATAGGTAGAGGAACAGATAGATAGATGGACAGAAAGATGGATAGATAGATGGATAAATATATAGACAGATAGATAGATAGAAAGACAGACAGATGGACAGAAAGATAGATGAAAAGATAGATAGATGGATATATGGACAGATAGATAGATGGATATATGGACAGATAGATAGATGGATATATGGACAGATAGATAGATGGATAGATAGATGAACAGATAGATAGATGGACAGATAGATAAATAAATATATAGATAGATGAACAGATAGATAGATGTTCTCGTTGACATACTCGTTAAAAGATAGACATACTCGCTGATGAATAGATATACTCGTTGATAAATAGATTGGGGCAAAAAGATCACTTATCATTATCATTTACATACAAAAAGATGGCAAAGATTAAACTGAGGATAGATAAGTGTGAAGGCAGGGCAGGGATCAGGGCAGATCAATTAATGGAGAGACAGAAAGTGCTGCTGCAGCCCGCGCCTGTGAAGGTTGCGCCCAATGCTCTAAGCCAGTAGGAATCCAGGCATACTACGGCATTAGATGCCAGAAAGTGAATCGAGTGGGGAGGGGGAGGAGTGTAGCGGCAGCAGCAGCAACAACTGAGAACAACGCGTCAGACAGGCGGTGGTGGCAGCGAGTGGCAGTGCCAGCGGCAGCGAGTGGGAATAATTCGATGAAGTTTGTTGCCTAAGTCTTTTGTTTGCCTGCTTCCGATGGTTGCGGCTGTGTGCCTCAAATGTTGTGTACTAATGTATTATTTTCTTTTTTCTTGGTCACCCTACACACACACACACACACACACACACACATGCATACACACATATTACACTACTCTTGTCTGAACAATTTACGTTTTTATTTGAACTCTTGGCTCACACGCTTTGGCTTTGCACTTGAAAATGTTCTTTTTTTTCTGTTGGGTTTGGGCCCCACTTGTTTTCTTACATTTCTTCTGTTCTGTTCTGTTCTTTGGCGTTTTTCTTTGGAAACACGCACACAACACATCAGAGAAGCGGAGAAGAAGAAAAGGAAGAAAAAAAAGTGAAAAAGGGCAGGAATGGGCCAGGGAAAAGCCAAAGAAGGGGAAAGCCGAGGCTGCAATTACTTTAATTAACTCATCATTAAGCACATTCGCCATGGGGCATAGCCAACCCAGCCCCACCCCAACCCGAACACAAATCTCTCTCTCTCTCTCTCTCTCTCTCTCGTGAGGTGTTGCAACAAAAATAAAAGGAAATGACAATGGAAAATCTTTCAGCGGATAATCTGTGTATGTCAAGGCGCACAGCAATATGTGTACATTAATTTTGGGTAATTCTTTTTGTTGTTGTTGCTGTTGTTTTTTGTCGATGACACATTTCCAGTGGCGGCCATTTTTGTATGGCGGTTTTTTTTTTGTTTTTATTGTTTTTGGTGCATCCTTTGAATCCGCTGAATTGCGCGCGATTTCGTTTATCGAAGGGAGAGCGCGCAAGAAAAAAAAAATATATATATGGAAGGGGGCTCTGGGCTCTGGTTCCTGCCTGCCTGTTCGCCAAATAAGTATACCAAAAACTTGTTTGCAACCTGCTCTGATTGCTTTTCTGTGTTACACAAGTCCCGAGTCCCAGTCCGAGTTGAAGATCGATCCCCCCCGCCCTTGGGGAACTGCCTTCGAGGTTTCGAGGTCTTCTTTTTTTTTTTTTTTTTCTACCCAAAAACGCGATGCCGTAGCGAATATTTTTATTGTGCATTCCGTTTGCATTTTACATTCTTCTCTTCGATCCTTTTTGCTCTGCATTTTTCTTTCCCCCTTTTTGGTGTCCCTTTTTTTTTTTTGCTCCCTTTTTGGTGTCCCTTTTTTTGCTCCCTCTTTTTTTTTTGTTTGTGATATTTTTGCGCTTCATTTTGTGGCTCCCTTTTTGGTGTTGCTCTTCTTTTTTTGTTTGCACTGGCCCCTGGCTGTGGCAACCTTCCTGCTGCTCTGGTTTTTGCAGTCCAAGGCGTTGGCGTACAAAATTCCTTTAGCCAGGTTTTCTCTCTCTCTCTCCAACTCTGTCTCTGTCTCTCGCCCTCCCTCTCTCGCGCTCTCTGGTCAAATTAAAACGTTTTATTGAAACTCAATTAAGTTGCGCATTCTCACGAAACGTTGGACGATGGAAAAAGTGGAAGATGGTGGAAGATGGAAGTTGGAGCAAGGCAGCCAGAAGAGAAGATGAAACCAAAAAGATGATGATGATGATGTTGATGGAGCTGTGTGGAGTAGATCAAAGCGAACAAAATAATAAAACAGAGTGGAAACGGGGACGGGGAGGCTGGAAAAATGTTAATTATTCGAATGTTGAATGATGCATTACATAAATCTGGTTGGTGCTTGCTTTTGTTGT